CCTGCTCGGCCGGGAGCCTGCTTCTCCCTCTCCCACTCCCCCTGCTCGTGTTCCCTCTCTAGCTGTCTCTCTCTCTGTCAAATAAATAAATAAAAATCTTAAAAAAAAAAAAAAAGCATTAAATTGAATATTATTTAAGTCGTTAACAGTAAAGGCTTAGGGAACAAGTGTTTATTCCAAAGACTTCTGCTTCCTACCAGCTTGATCCTGCTCGCCATACCACGTGTTCCAAGTCCCCACCAAAGTACAGGGGTAATGCTTATCTTCATGAATCTTTGGCAACACCTCTTGACTTAAAGAGAAGAAACAGCAACACTAATTAAACAACTGACAAGATTATACCAGGTCCAACACATCATCAACAATAGGAAAAAGGCCATCTACTCTGTTCTGACAACTGACCTCAGAAATATTTATGATAAAAATACGTGCAGAATTAACCTTTTAGCTGAATTCTACTGCACTCTAATATCCCACTTATCAGAGGCTTAGGTTTCTGTTACCCCAACTACCTAGAATAGTTGTAAACAACTCAAGTATAGTGATAAAAATGGATAAAGAAGAGCCAAAGGTCCCAGGATTCCAGGAACCCTACATGGGTCTACTATTTGCTATTTCAGGAAAAAAAAAAAAAAAAGAAAAAGAAAAGAAAAGAAGCACCTAGGAATGGTGAAGTTTCTAAGAGCTAAGTTCTGCTGGTTCCCAAGATAGGAAGGGGAGAAACAGAAATAGTAGGAAAAGAGCACGGAAGAAGAAATAAGAGAAGGAAGTGATGTTTGAGATAGGGGAGACAAGAGAAGCGGAAGGAACAGGCAGAGGGGGCAGGGGCAGAGAGCAAGCTGGCTGTAAGGAGGGAAGAAGACAGACCTAGAACCCAACACAGTCTGGAAGCAACCCAGTTCTAACAGTCCCCAAGGGCATCACCATGGCAGAGGAACCCAAATTAAAGATACAGCACAGACCCTAAATTAGGTTCTATTCAATTCAACTCGCTGACAGGACTTAAGAAGTATCCTACAGTCCCATGTGCACACCCCCCAAGTTCATTACCAGTGATTGTGCAGGACTAGCAGGAAGGCCATGACAGTCATGGCCGTGTATTAATTTAACAGAGGTGCCAGAGCTTGGCTCCAGGGAAACCTTCCTATGGTACAGATTCTAATATACAGAGCAAGGCAAAAGGAAGAGACAGAACTGTGCCATCCCAAAATAAAAGCTAAAACCTGCACACTTTTTGAACAGAAAACTTATGATGAAAAAGTACAATACAGATTCAACAATAAATGCCAAAGGGTATCAAGGGTCGGAAATGGAACCTGTTCGAACTATCTGCTGACACTGAGTGAAAATTAAGTTCATGATCACCACCAGAGCCTGGGGCACGAGAACTGAGTGTATATGCAGTTAACAGAGAAAAGCTCAGAATGGTCTTATGTCTAAATGAAAGCCTGTACATTTTCGTGACCTCGTACAATGACCACACCGTGTGTATTTTCTGAAATGCATACACATGGTGTGATCACTGTACAGGTCAAAAAAGATTTATGTTAGAAATAACATGGGACTGGG